TGCGGTTCCACGTCGCATTCCAGAGCCAACCATCCGTGGTGAAGGGGGGACAGCCCTCCGTTGCCTCCAGGGGGGCTCCCAGGTTCGTTTGCGGGGGCAGCAAAGAGTGGCGACAAGCTCAGTGCTGAGCAATTGGCATTGGCTTTGCTTGGTCGGAAAGATCTGTCGTATGCAGCATGCCTAGAGCTGTTGTGTGCCGCTTTTCCGGGTTTCGCCCCCAACAATCGACCACAGGTCCTAGGCCCTGTGATGCTGTGCCGTATTTTGTCTTAGGGCATTTTCATCATGCACCGCGGCAAGGTGTTACCTCCTTGACCAGGAAGATGCCGTCAGTGGTTTGTTTCTTGAATGCATGGCTCGTTTCTCTGTTCCCGGGCCAGTGCTGGAGTAGTATTGCCGTGAGCCACAATCATGTTGCTGTGATGCATGCAGATTCGGCAAATCTCCCAGGATCCAGTAACTGCACGGTGTCGTTAGGGTCTTTTCGCGGTGGCGGCTTGTGGCTAGCTGATGAGCAGGGTGATTGTGAAATGCGCGATCCTGAGGGCCACTCTGTTCGAGGCCGTGTGCATTCCACTTTTCAGCAGCCGCTCACTTTTGATGCGCAGCGCTTGCATGCTACGCAACCTTTCCAAGGCGAGCGTTGGGCAGTGACGGCCTACACAACTTCGCATGTCAGTCATGACTCTGCATCTGTTCGTGATGAGCTGCTGGCCTTAGGCTTCCCACTGCATTGCACTTCGGGGGTAGGGGTTGGGGACCGGGTTGTTAGGTTAGGCCCCTGCCCGCCTGGTTTCCCTAGGACTCCTTCCCCGCCTGGTGTGCCGACGCGTGTAGTTCAGTGCGGTACTTCTGGGATAGCGCAGCCCGCTTCCACTGATCGCCAGGTCCTCTGCGCTGAGCCACATGCTGAGGATTCTTCGTGTGCAGCTGTTGCACAGCGCTTGAAAGCGGCGCGTCCTGTTGTCTGGAAAGGGGCTGGTGACCTTCTGCAGGTTCCTTGGGCCAGGGCTCCGCATGGCAAGTGGCTTGTGCTGGATTTGTGGAGCGGTTATGGCGGTCTTTGCATAGCCTGCTTGTCCCTTGGGATGCACTTTTGGGCCTTAGCAGCTGAATGTGACCAGGATGCAGTTAGCTGCGCGCAGAGCACCATGCCCAGCATCGTTCATGTGCCTCATGTGGAAGATGTGTCGATTGCTATGCTCCTCCCATTTTTGGAGCGCCGGCAGGTGCGCGGGATCCTTGTCGGCGGGGGCTCACCTTGTCAAGGGAATAGTGCTCTGAACAAGCATCGGCGAGGTTTGCATGACCCGAGGTCCCAACAACCTTTCATGTTAAAGGAGTTGGTGGCATCTTTGCGTCAGCATCCTGCGTGCAAAGGTCTGGAGATCATCACCTTTTTAGAGAATGTGGCTAGTGCCCCAGCTGATGTGGTCACTTCTTACAGCCAGTGGCTTCAAGGGCCACCTGTGCGCATCAATGCATCTTCTTGCGGTTGGTGCAACCGTGACCGGCTGTTTTGGCTAGTGGGCAACTCCAAGCACTTGGGTTCCGTTCAGGGTCCTTTGCCTGATGGTTGGGGTTGGGATGCTTCTTCTTCGTCGCCTCGTCAGCTTCGTTTTGAGGGAGAGAAACCTGTACCGCCCAAGATTCATTGCGAGCAGGGCTTTCAGGTTGTGTCCGACCCGCTCATGGTGATGAAGCAGAAGGCCCCGGCCATCTTTACATTCACACGTGAGTTTTACCACCCCATCGCTGGTCTAGTGATTCGCGCCGTTTTCCTCCCAGTGCTTACGAGGAGCACAGTTTGGTATGGCGTGGGCAAACGTGGCGCACGCCTGCGCCATCCGAGCGCTCTCAGATGTTGGGGGTGCCACCGTCAGCAACCGCTGCTGTTCCTTGTGTAGCTGCTCAGCGCACGCAACGTAGAAACAGTTTGCTGGGTAACGGTTTCCACATTCCCAGTTTACTTTGTCTGCTCTCGTTGTTGCCTAGCCTTTGTGATGCAAAGTGTCATTCTCTGCCGGTATCCCTCCAGTGCCCCACTTCGCAAGTGCTTGGCGAACGACTTCAGGGCACTTTGTGGGAGCCTGGACGGTTGCAAGCTTTGCCATGTACACTGTCAGCCCCTGCCGTCGTGTGTGGTATGCAGGCGCAGCTTTCTGACTTCCAGGTGGATGCAAGCATTTGGAGTCGTTGCACCAAGGCATTGTTGCATTGTGATAGTATTGTGATACCGCCCTGTTGCAGGGTTTTGCGGCCTTTCAGATGTCTCGGGGTGAAGAGTACCGTGAGTTACCGCCCTGCGCCATTGGAGCGCGTCAACGATCTCAGATTTATGCGGGGCTTTCGGGCCAACGTTTTTCTTCTGAGAGTGCACGTGGCCTTGATCACCTGCTCCCGCCAGGGCTTGGTAAGGAAGCGCACATGTTGCAGTCATCAGCACTCCCGTCCCCATTCTTGACACGCGAATGGCCGGATGCTGATGTTGAGTTTGTGGCCTATACGATAGGAGTCTGGCGCGAACTTCTGCCATTGCTTGCGCAACGTCAGCGCCAGGTTGTTCGCTCGGTGATTCAAGCTGTTAGCCCACTGCAGGAGGCTTTGTGCCGGTTTAGGTGTGATAGTGCAATTCGTGTGGCCGCCAACAAGAACGCTGCAGTCATTGCTTTCTTCACGTCCTTGCTGCGTTGGCCGGATGTGTGGCAAGCTAAGGAGATGATTCGGGGCTTTTCCATTGTGGGTGAGGTTCCGGTTTCGGGGTTATTTCGTGCCATAACCCCCCACCTCTCCAAGGACCCTGACACTCAAGCTTGGCTTGCGTCGGATGCGGTGGCTGCTGTCGATGCCATTTTGCAGTCGTCTCCAGGCAAGCATGCTGCAGAGATCCAGCGCGTCACCGAGAAAGAGCATGCAAAGGGCTTCTGTAGTGAATGGATGACCCGTAGCCAGCTGAATGCGCGCTTTGGGCGCGGTGGTTGGCGGCCGCTTGAGCGTTTCTTGATTGTGCAGGCGGATGGAAAGCTTCGAGTGATTGACAATGCCAGGCGGACAGGCCACAACCTTCACACGGAGATGAATGAGACTATCCATGTCGTCAGTGTGGAGTTTGTGGCGGCGGCGGCCCAGCAGGTGGCGAATCATCTGCCTCCTCATGAGCGCCCTCCTCAGGAGACTTCCAGCTGGTTGCGCATGCGCATTGCTACTGATGACTTGCCTGATGCCTATCGTGGGCACCCAGTTCGGGATGACCAGCTTTGTTTTTCTATAGTGGCGGTCTTTGTGGAGGGGGCTGGCTGGCGCTTCACCATCCTCTACGGCTTGGCTTTTGGCTTGGAGTCAGCAGTGGTTAATTTCAACAGATTTCCCCTGTTGGCAGTTGCCGTGTGCCGCCGATGCCTTTCGGGTATGAATGCAGCTTATTTCGATGACGAGCTCTCCGTTGATTTTCATAGTGAGAGTGCCGTGTCACAGCTGGCGCTCAAACTGGTCTGCAAGGCCTTTGGTGCTGAACCTCAAGCTGCAAAGAGTTTTCCACCTGCCCCAGATAGAAATTACTTGGGCACCTCAGTGCATGTGGGAGCTTTTCTCTGCGAGGGCACCATCTGCGTTCAGCCCAAGTTTGCCACAGTGGTTAAGGTTTGTACGCGTTTGCAGGCCGCTTTACAGTCGGGTACTTTGCCTCGAGACCTTGCAGGCCGTCTCAGGGGCGACTTGATTTGGCTCTTTTCTGTGAACTCCGGCTATGGTGCAAAGTACGCAAGTCCATTGCTCACTCGGTTCCAGCATGGTGAATCTGAGGTGTTGCCTGCTGAGGATAAGCTGGTGCTACAGTCGCTGCTGGCCATTGTCCTGCAGGCGCCGCCGCGTATGTTCTGTTTGCAGGCTTGTGCACGGCCTTTCACTCGCGTTTACAGCGATGCTTCCTTTGAGGGTGGTGTCTTACGGTTAGGATGGGTTCTTTTCCCATCCGACGGTGCCCAACCTCAAGGAGGTACCTGCTTGGTGCCGTCTGCAGTCTTGGAATCGTGGAAATCCAGACGTCAGCAGATTTATCCTGGCGAGACTTTAGCTGTACTGCTGGTCCCGATGTTGCTTCCCCGGTACTTTGTGGCCGCTGATGTGCTATGGTTCATCGATAATCAAGCCTCTGTTACGGCTGTCATTAAGGGGTGCAGTGCGGAGGGTGATGTGCATGAAATCGCCCATCTGGCAGCTGTGTCGCGCTGTGCCCAGCAGACCAAGGTATGGTTTGAATGGATAGACTCAGACTCTAATCCTTCCGATGGCCTATCCCGTCTGGGGCTGCTGGACCCCTGGTCTGCGCAGCAGGATTGGTTCTTGCAGGAGTTCTCCTACCCTGCGGAGGCATTCCGTTCAGCTGTTGTGCAGGCTCTTTTGTCTTGTGCAGATCTAGAAACAGTGGGGGTGAGACATTCAGAAACCATGGGTGTCTTT